TCTACTATTTGACCTCTGTGGGGTCGTCTGCCAAGATGTTCAATACCGCTGGTTCGTTAGTGCTCCTGGCTGTTCTAATGACAGTCGTTATGGTTTGTCTGACCGACCATTGTTGTTATCCTCATCTGAAGTGATCATTTGGTAAGTTTCCTGAGAGGTAGTGAAAGGACAGCATTGTAAGTCGGGGGATAAGTGATGCCGTAGACCCCCTCCTCTGTTAAAAGTTCAGTGTGTAAGATTTAATGGCATCCAGTTTGTGACGTTTGTGAATTGAAACCATCTATCCAGTCTACCACTGCCCCTAACCTTTCAAAGAGCGCAGGACAGCTACGGTGGCTGACACAGCACAAAAAGTGGTGGTGTTGGTGCATAGATAAGACACATGCCTTTGGTGTGGGAGACCTGGGTTTGAATCCCACTGTGAGACATCCACCAATGTGTCCCTGAGCAAGACACTTAACCCCTAGTTGCTCCAGAGGCGTGCGTCCTCTGACATGTATAGCAGTTGTAAGTCGCTTTGGATAAAAGTGTCTTCTTCTGGATACCAGATAATCAGAGGCCCAGGCCCATCGTCATGAAGACTAAACACTTCAACCAGAAGGAACGGTAAATCCAGCAGATTCTTAGCCAACCAATTAAAATTGAATAAAGACAAAATAACTATTTCCTCCTTAAAGGACTCAGCAAGGAATCTGACTCCTAATCGAAAACATCAATGTATTTCTAAGGTTGCCAAGGTTAGAGGATGAACAGATCAGGGCTCTGGATTTACCTGTTTCAATGGCTGAACTCCGTTAAGCCCTCTTATAAAGGCAGAATAAAAGGGTTATAATTACAGGTTTTCCTACTGAATTCTACAATTTTGAAGTTTGCTTAATGTGAGAGTTAAAGGATATTATATATATTATAAATAGGACTTAAACCAGCTTAGAGTGGTTCCCTTAATGGCAATTAAATGTTCCAGTCTCTGTAATAGGATATGATGGTCAATTGCATCAAATGCAGCGCTAAGTCCTTTGTCTGATGCAATTTGGAGGTCATTAGTTATTTTCACCAGTAATGTCTCTGTGCTATGATGCACTCTAAATCCTGACTGAAAATCCTCACATAAATCCTCATTCTAAGGTGATAAAAATCTCTTCACATTTACATTCCCTGTTGTTGGAGCCTGATTTTCAGATGGTAGTCGAATGTCATACAGTGCTTAAATGCAGCACAAGGAATTCACCTCCCTCCAGGGACAGGAGTGCAGGAAGCAGCAGTCAGTGAGGAACGCCGGCTCCAGCATCAGCAGCAGCTCTCATGGCAGCTTCAGTTTTCAGAGTTGTGGGGATTATCTTGTTTCTGGTTGCAGCCTGTGGAGGTGAGCTCTGAGTGTGTGTGTGTGTGTCGGTTTGTTTATCTTTTACTACCGTGTGTGTATGTGTGTGTGTAGTAGGGCTGACCCTAACAGCAAAACAACGTTCATTCCATTTTGGTGATATTGGAGTGCGTCTGATTTTACATAGAACTACAGATTTTCTCCCAGAAAGTTAATATACAGCCTGTTGCAACATACAATTAACCATATAATGCTGTAAATAAAAATGTGAAAAGAAAAAGGCTTTTAATAAATGGTTGAATAAATCCAAAATTACCCTTAAAGAAGTGGGGTCATGTGTAGGCGTAGTGTGTAGGCGTGTGTGGCCTAGTGGCAGAGAGATGGAGCTCCAGCCCCACCGGTGCTGTGCATGTTCGAATCATGTATCACCACTGATGAACCATCGTTATTAAACAGTACTTGAAATAGACCTGCAAGGTCTTTTCAGGTTTTATAAATCTTTTATTGAGTCCTACTTTACTTTTTCATGTATTTGCTGGTACGCTTGTCTTAGTTTAAAACGGAAAAACACATTAGCAATGGTAAATAAAGTTAGCAGCAAAATCACTGGGATTCAGCAGATAAAACTAACTGAACTAAACAATAGACGTGCTTAAAAAGGCAGAATCCATCATGTCTGATAGTTCTCACCCCTTGCATGCAGAATTTAAGATGCTGCCTTCTGGTTCCCGCTTCAGTCAACCACCAGCCAAAACATATCAGTATAAATTCTCCTTCGTACCCTCGGCCATCTCTCTGCTTAACTCTGTAAAGAATAGGTAACGTCTGCACAGAAGGCTCACTTGAACTTAAACTATTAATGTTGTGGTATTTATTTACCCATTGGTCTGATCCTGTATTTTTAATCAATGTTGTCGTCTTTGTTGCTATGTTCTGTGTGTCAACTTCTTTGCTACTGCAGTAAAACTAATTGCCCCTCGGGGACAAATAAAGGTCTTGAACTAGCTCCGACCAGTTGCCATGTGCAGGCGTTGTGATGCGATGTAACGTTCAGTAATCTTTTTATACAGCCTGATATCACAAACTTCACTCAAAAGCATCACATTCTGTAAAGTGTCTGACACTCCATCCCAGAGCCTGAGGACTAAAAACCCATATAGTGGGCAAAGTGATGAAATGGCAGGCATGGCTGTGTAGGGCCATTTGGCAAACACACCAACTTAGATTGTGATGAGCCGATGATGTAAGTTCAGAATGCATTGTGGGTGTAAAGTTAGCCGTCGATCGCGTGAGACTAACGGAGAAACAGAGTATTAAAATATTGATGTCCTCATCACAGGTCGCTACAAAAACATAGAAGAACTCAGAGAGTCCGACTCATCCAGTTCCCTTAACAACCATTGTAGAACATGTCCAGACTTCTTCTTCAGCAGTTAAACTTGGGATTCTTGGTTTTCTCTGTTTGTGTTCAGACCCACAGGAGGTGACAGTAAAACCTGGACAGGACGTCTCTCTTCTCTGTAAGGCTCCCACAGGTGGTCCCATCTCACTGATAGCGTGGAGCAGACCGGACCTGAAGGCTGATGGCTACGTCTTCTTCCTCAGAGACGGTCTCCACATGAACTACCAGCATCCTTCTTACGTGGGTCGAGTGGAGCTGAGAGATCCAGACATGAAGGACGGAGACGCTTCTGTTGTTCTGAAGAACGTCACCGTCAACGACTCTGGAACATACGAGTGTCGGGTTGGGAAGAAAAACAAACCTGAACTCATCAGCATCATCAGGCTGACGGTTTCAGGCTCAGGTGAGTCTTTAGAAACGTTTGTATTTCATACAGATGTTGTTGATGCAACTTAAGTCATGTGACCGAAGTGCAGTAGATCATGTCTGACAGGATTTTGAAGAGGAAATAGATTCTGTTCGGTTCTTCAGTCATCACGTACAGCTGACAGCTGATACACCTGTTTCTGCTCTCTCACAGCTGGAAACATCTCAGCTGGAGGAAACAAGGAGCAAGGAAACAAGGAGCAAGGAAACAAGTACAAAGGAAACACGGACCAAGGAAACAAGTACAAAGGAAACAAGTACAAAGGAAACAAGGACCAAGGAAACAAGGACCAAGGAAACATGGACCAAGGAAACATGGACCAAGGAAACAAGGACAAAGGAACCAAGGACCAAGGAAACAAGGATCAAGGAAACAAGGACCAAGGAAACAAGGATCAAGGAAACAAGGACCACGGAAACCTTGATGAAAGAAACAAGCATGTTGGACTGACTGCAAGTTTGTTAGTAGTTGTTGCTGTTGTTCTGTTTTGTCTTTGAAGAACAACATGAATGCAAATGGATGCAATGCTACCACGCTGACCAGTTGACCACAGTTGTTGTGGGCTGCGTTGCCGCAACACATTCTCTCTTCCAAACGTCACATATGGACGCTTTGTCAAGACCCGTAGGCACAGGTTTTTAACACCCTGGGGAGGCACCCTTTAGTGTAGTAGTAACGTCCGGTTACACTTTCAAATAAAAAGAAATGTTGTGAAATTTACATTTATTCATTTAGCTGACACTTTTATCCAAAGCGACTCACAAATTGATATCAGAGGTCGCACGCCTCTGGAGCAACTAGGGGTAAAGTGTCTTGCTCAGGGACACAATGGTGTCTCACAATGGATTTGAACGTGGCTCATCTCACTCCAAAGGCGTGTGTCTTATCCACTGCGCCATCATCCCATTGTGGCAGGGGTGTGTGACCTCTGACATATAGTATAGCAGTTATAAATAGCTTTGGATAAATGAGTCATTAATATTATCTTAACTTCAATAAAAACATTTAATGTTGACTTTTTGTTTCACATGGGAAACGAACACCAGTCTCCTGGGTGAAAGTCCAGTTTCTGACCCATTATCCACACCAGCCACCTCCTTACTCAGACTTTTCTGTTAAATGTCCTGTACCTACCCCTAGTGTTCAAAAGTGACACTACAGGGCTTCAAACAGTGCGTTACAAACTGACAGCTGATCATGCGTACATACGTGACAAATTGAGTGTGAGAATGTTTTGTCATAGATTTGATGCAGAACTATTAATTGGCCTTCAGGGCGTGTGATCAGGACCGCCGCTGTTACAAACAGGAAGCAGAAAAAATGAGACAAGAGGTGGGCCACACTAGAGGCCTTTGTGACTCTTTCTGCTGGACGTCTGTGTGTTCCAAAGTAAAAACCCAAGTGTACCCAGTAGTGAGTACACCGGGCCAAAGATAAGGATGTATGTACAGAAGTTTTCCTTACTTCTTGCTGTTGGCACCTGGGTTGGTGAGTAATGCTGAATCAGCAGATTTACAAAGACCTGTAGGAGGCAGTTTGAATTGAGGTGGTGACACTAACATCTAGCAAGTATTGTTATCTATAAATTACTTGTTTGTTTATCAGTAGAGTAGATGCTGGATCGTCAGCCAGGACTAGCACAGAACCAGTCTTTAGACCGGAGATGTACAAGCAGCTCTAATGGAACAGTTGCTGCTTCACCACCACTTATCAGACTTCATGAAGACTGATTAGTGGGCAGAGATCTGTTCAAACCAGCACTGGACTGTTCTAGAAGAGCATTCAGGCTTCTTACAGAGACAGACTGTTTAAAGACGGGAGGGCTGTAGTGAGAGCAGAGCGGTGTTCTGTGCAGCAGTGGCAAATTGTTAATAGGAGGGCCCCACAGCAGAAATATGCCAGTTTCAGGAAGTAAAACCAGCAACAGAGCTGCAGTGAGAGGCGGAGCAAAGAGGAGAGCTTCAACGTCAGGAAATGAAACTTAACTTTGCTTTGTCAGAGCAGCAGCCGTCGAGACGAGTCTCTGTTTGTCTCTGAAAGGAAATTCAGAATCTGAGTTCATCAGGTCTTTCTCAACAACCCAGCGGAGTCTCTGCCAAACACGGGTGAGTACAGCTGATCACATTTACAGATTCAACAACCAGCATGAACACAAACCTGCAGCTCTGCTCAGGCAGGAAGTTCCACTCTTTTCATTTCATACTTAAAATCTAACTCTGGCTGTTTGTCCACAGATCCACTATACAGCAGCCCACTGACTGCTTTAAACTGCCTCTGTGTCCGAGCTGAGTTTCACTCCTGTTTCCTGATATTATTACTGTTTATTGATCGCTTCTTGCAGTCATTGTGCATTTGAATTCCTCTGGCTGTTTCACAATAAAAGCTTTCCACCTGCGAACCAGCAGGAGGCTTTTAATGTGAAACAGCTAGAGGAAATGTAACGTGCGTGCCATCATGTAAGCAGAGTTTTCTAAGCAGTGCGATTCTTCAATATATATATATATATATATATATATATATAAATTGGTCTACACGACATGAAATGTACATTTTCTGTGATATTCTGTTATCGTAGACAGCTTGAGCTTAACAGCACGGCTTGAATGGTTGCAGCTGCTCACAGCTCAGTTTGGTGAAATATCCCCACAAAGCCCAAATAAAATTTAAAATGGCTTTAATATTTATGCTGCACTTAAAATGACTGTAATCACACTTCTTTCTCCTTAAACTAAGAATTAAAACTGTATATTGGATTAAATGGTTCCTTTATGTCTCTCTACATGTGTAGATATGGCTGCTGTGAACTATCTGCGATCTGAAGATCAGTTCCTGTGCTCCATCTGTCTGGATGTGTTCACTGATCCTGTCAGCACATCATGTGGACACAACTTCTGTAAAACCTGCATCAATGTGCACTGGGATACTAAAGACCAGTGCCTGTGTCCAATGTGTAAAATGGTTTTCAACACAAGACCTGAGCTGCACGTCAACACTTTGTTCTCTGAGATAGCTGCTCAGTTCAAGTCAGCTCAGCAGGAAGCCAGCAGCAGGAGCTCAGAGACACAAGCTGCCAAACCAGGAGAAGTTCCCTGTGACGTCTGCACTGGAACCAGACTGAAGGCCCTGAAGTCCTGCCTGGTGTGTCTGGTCTCCTACTGTGAGACTCACCTGGAGCCTCATCTGACAGCTTCAGGCCTGAAAAGACATCAGCTGATCGACCCTGTGGAGAACCTGGAAGACAGGATGTGTACGAAGCACGATAAACCTCTGGAGCTGTTCTGTAAGACCGACCAGACGTGTGTCTGCATGCTCTGCACTGTTTTAGACCACAAGATGCACGATGTTGTTCCAATGAAGGAAGGATATGAAGGAAAGAAGGCCGAGCTGGGAAAGACAGAGGCTGAAATTCAGCAGATGATCCAGCAGAGAGGACTGAAGATTGAGGAGATCAAACAGTCGGTTGGCCTCAGTGAGAAAGAGGCAGGCAGAGAGAAAGCAGAAGGTGTTCAGATCTTCACTTCTCTGAAGGAGTCTGTTGAGAGAGGCCTGAAGGAGCTCATCGACACCATCGAAGAGAAGCAGAGAACAGCAGAGAAACAGGCTGAAGGCTTCATCACAGAGCTGGAACAGGAAATCTCTGAGCTGATGAAGAGAAGGACTGAGGTGGAGCAGCTCTCACGCTCTGAAGACCACCTCCATCTTCTCCAGAGTGTCCAGTCCCTGAACATCCACCATCCACCCACCAAGGACTGGACAGAGGTCAGCGTCTGTCCACCATCATATGAGGGGACTGTGGTGAGAGCTGCGGCTCAGCTGGAGGAGAAACTCAGTAAAGAGATCAAGAAGCTGCTTGAGCTGACGAGGGTCCAGCGGTTTGCAGTGGACGTGACTCTTGATCCTGATACAGCACATCCGAAACTCATCCTGTCTGTTGATGGGAAACAAGTGTATCATGGTGACGTGTGGAAGGTTCTCCCAGACAATCCAGAGAGATTTTCTGTTAAAACTTATGTTTTAACTAAGCAGAGTTTCTCTTCAGGCAGATTTTACTTTGAGGTTCAGGTTAAAGACAAGACTGGCTGGAAGTTAGGAGTGGCCAGAGAGTCGATCAAAAGAAAGAAAGACATCAAACTAAGCCATCAGAGGGGTTACTGGAGTTTATGGTTGAAAAATGGAAACGAGTACAGAGCTCTTGCTGGACCTTCAGTCCTTCTGTCTCTGAAGTCTCGGCCTCAGAAGGTGGGGGTTTATGTGGATTATGAGGAGGGTCTGGTCTCTTTTTATGATGCAGATGCTGCAGCTCTGATCTACTCCTTTACTGGCTGCCACTTCACTAAGAAACTCTTTCCATTCTTCCACCCAGGTATGAATGATTGTGGTAAAAACTCTGCCCCTCTGATCGTCTCTCCTGTCAGAGTAAACTAATCACTTATTTCATGTATTGTTTTATTGGTATTAAAGGGAATAGATGTAAATATTGAGTGGACAAACCACAGAGCTTACATCTTATTTTCTACAGAATCTGTTTACTGTGGTTATTTATTAAACTTCACTGTAAGATGTATCCCATTGCATAGGCAACACAATAATCTGATGCATCTGTGACCGACGCCGTGCCGCTACTCGTTCGCGGGCGGCTAGTTAAAAAAAACCCCAAAAAAAACAATTAAAACTTAATTTAGGTAAGGTTCTGCAACAGGCTGCACCAAAACACGACGAGGCTCAGACAAGTACAGTTTATAAAACCAATGCCTTTATTAAAAAAATAAAACAATGAACCACAGAAGTCCCTTTATAAAAAGACCTAAAAATAGTAAGAGTTTATAATAAAACCTGTAAAAGTCACTGGGCAAGCCTTAATCCGTCCAGTCCTCAGTAGTTGGTCTTTAAAATCCCAGTTTCCAGTCCATCGGCCACTGCTCTCGCTGCTCGTTCCTGCTCTCAGTAGTGGTCAGCAGTAACCTAGGTGACAGCCCAGATAGCAAACATTATTGAAACTGTGTTGAATCAGCATTCTGCTCTCAACGCTAATTTAATCGAATCAACATCAGACTCTGATGTTGAATCAACATTTTGCACCCGTTTTTTTTAATACTGAAACGTCATAACTAAAAATCAACATGACTTCAATGTTATTTCAACCAACATTAAACCACAGAAAATAGACTATAATATATTAAAAATGAATAAATGACAATGACAATTTAATCAGTTAAAAAATATAAGTTTATTTATGGAAACAAAAATTCTTCACTACTCCTGTTCTGTCCACCCATCAGGTCTGGAGCATTGGAAGCCATTTTTGTGCTGCCTGGGCAAAGCCAAAGACTTCTGTCCCCATTGGTTCAGTCAGGGCATCTATAACAGAAAAAATACAAACAAAACAACTTTTGGTAGTGAAAAGGAGGTGAAGATGAACAATGTCAGTCGGGCTGAATTGGTCTCTCTCTCTCGGTCAGTCTCTCTCGGTCAGTCTCTCTCGGTCTCTCTCTCTCTTTGAATTCACTAATGTAACCAATTTGGTAGTTTATTGTAGATGTAGACTGCCTGGCTGGCTTCAATCTGGAGGATGAAAGTTGTAGAAGACTGACAGATGTATCAAGTTAGCTGGCTTATTTAAAGTTAAATGACAGGGGCATTAGCTAGGATCAGTTACGAGCATGAGCATATATTTCGCAAAGCAGTCGAAATCTGAGCAAAGATAAAATACAGTTTAACATAATTTACAGTCCTGTACAGGACTATTATCCTCTGGTGATAAAGTTAGCATTTATACTAGCGGAGTAACTTATCCTAATACGATGGAGCTTGGATATTGTGCTATTTGTCAGTATAAAATGGTATTGAAACACTTGTATATAGTCTATGACTGCATATAATGTTAGACAATGTCAATAAACAATAAATGTCTACAAATTTGGTACAATTAAACGTTAGATAAATAAATATGTGCTTACTTGATGTGGACTTGTGAGATGTGAGGGGTTCAGGAACATTGATCCACCAAGCGATGGTCTCCTGGTCAATAATGCTGCATTGACTTTTCAATCATACATTATTTCCCGGTCAACTATAAATAGATGATTTTTCAACATTGCTGTTGTTGTTACCCAGTCAACTACAAATCAATGCTTAATCGAGGCAACTATAAATCAATATTATTCCAATGTCCGGCTCATACATGGTCATTTTTCATCAGTACTGTAATATTGATTCAACATTTATTTAGGGTTGAGATTTCAATCTCAACCATTCTGATGATTCAGATGGAAAATCAATATTTATTCAATGCAGTCTTGCTATCTGGGAGGATGCTTGGCTGTCACAAAGTTCCCCACAATAGTTCCGCTAGGGTTAATTCAGTTATATATATAAAAAAAAAAATAATTTAAACAAAAATGTTAATGCAAATAAACAACTAAATCACAGGTGCAAACAAATCAAACCCCAAACCCCACACCCAAGCAAAACTATTGATGTTCGTGGCGTGACACCATGATATATATATATAAAATGGACTTTAAAATTAGGACCGGAATCCGCAGCGTACTGTCTTGCTCCTCCAAATACTACAAGTTAAAAAACACAACTAAAGTGGCAGCTTATTCACTGGGGACGGTAGATAGTCGCAAACAAAGAGGCGTGGGAGAGCTACTTACAGGGAAGTAGGGGGGAACGAATTCTGCATAACCATGTGGACTGATTGTAAATCAAGTCACAAATGTCAGCAATCAATTTTCTAAAGGTTAACTGATCACTGCCCTCGAATTCCCGGAGGGACTGATTTAATGATTCAACTATAAATCTAAAGTTTTCAATTATTCCCTCAAATTAATCTGAAAAAAACGGCCCAAAACAATGAAACATTCATCGCAATTTTTTAGAAAAGACGCCACAAAATCAGGTGTTTTAGGACGCAACAATCACAAAAAAGGCCAACAAAATCCTGGAGGGACTGATAAACATGTTTAGAGTTTGGTATAAAAAACAGTTTTTGTCTGTATAGCAGACCGCGATTATACTAGCAGTCCTACTGTTTTGTCCTAAATGTAGTACGCAGTATAAAATACATACTGCAGTCGCCCGGTAGCATTAGGTGGTTCTGATTACAGCCCAAGTCTCTCTATCTAATTTCCCCCTCAGGGCTCCAGACTAACTGTTTTTACAAGGAGCACTTGGCCCCTAGCTGAAAATATTCTTCACACCGACAGAATCAGAGGGAGAGCTGCTGACACGGTGGATGCGTTGATTCTCCTGCTTGCTGTATATAAAAAGGCCTGCTGTATTAGTGCTGCCGCTGGTCAAGTTGAAAATTAACAGCAGGCCAAACGGCCCTTAGGCCGCCGGGTAATCCCCCGGTGCAGACTTGCTCCCACCTCATTTTTTAACCATGTTTTCGACATGTAAATTTGCAGGCCGCTCATGTGCAAGTAGCTGTAAAAAGTACTCGCACTGTCTCAAAAAATGGTCCCTAAATGTGAGCATCTGACCACAGCCAGCCTGCAGCCAGGTACAAGTCAAAAACTTTTACAAGTTGAAAACTTGTAGTTGAGAGAGTTTCTTTTAGATTTCGATCGACTGCAGGGCCCTTGCTCCCAACCAGCAACCAGCTGTTGAGATGTTGTGAGTTTTTATTTTCTCTCACTCAACAAATATAGATAATCATTATGGGAAATCGTGCCATGCTACATTTAAAAGGCCAGTTTATTTGTATAACACACGTGAACAAGGCAATTTAAAGTGTTTTACTTAAAACCTGAAGTAACATAGCATAACATTTTAAACACAAATAAATAACAATTAAAATAAAGTAAAATAGAAAATTAAAACAGGTTAACAATTAATTAATTTAAGGTGCTAAGTTAATAAAACAATTATAAGACTACAAGATGCTTATAAACATAAATAATTCATTTAAGTGTTAATTCAAGCACAATTAACACATTTATTATTGCTTTTAAGGCACTTAATTATATAGGCTCTTATTAGAGAAGTGTTAACAAGTTATGGACCTTGATACGATGTTTATTAACATTAATGAGACTTAATGAGTGTTAGTAATGTCCTAAAACACATTAATTATTGCTTTTAAGGCACTTAATTATATAGGCTCTTATTAGAGAAGTGTTAACAAGTTATGGACCTTGATACGATGTTTATTAACATTAATGAGACTTAATGAGTGTTAGTAATGTCCTAAAACACATTAATTATTGCTTATAAGATATTTATGAGCACTTATTAGAAACTTGTCAACAGTTTATAGACCACTTATCAAGTTAATAGGATGTTTAGTGACAGTAATCAGACTGTAAGAATATTACTGCCTTATAAAGGCTAATAAACCTTTACTGAATTTAAATACTCTGTATTTGTATAGTGCTACGATCTTCCGATTAACGGGCAACCCGCTCTGCCTCCTGCCGCACTTATTAACCATTAACAATGCTCCCACTTAAGCTGCAGTAGCTGCATCATAAGAGATTTATTATTTTAATAAGACACTGTTGTGATGCCCCCGTGTGGCTTGAATCTGTATGTGTATCAGTACTGCAGTGGTGATGTGTCTGGACAACCTAGCTCCAGTCCACAGGAGATAAAAGCTCCACCTCCAAGATTCTTGGCTCTCTCTCTCTGATCTTCCCTGCCGGCAGCTACACCTTTTGGTTTCATTAAATGAAATGTGTTATGTGAAAGTGTTATTTGCATTTATTTTATGTTACAATAAACACCGTGAACGACAGGCAGTGTGTCTTTCCCACTTTTTGTTATGGCCTTTGAGCCAGGTCAAGACACCGTTCCCACTTTACTGGTTATGCTTGTTAATGGTTAATAAGTGCATAATAAATGATTTATTAATTTAAATAAGACACCGTTCCCACTTTAGTTCAGGTAGCTGCATAGGTGCACTGGTAATGCTTGTTAATGGTTAATAAGTGCATAATAAATGATTTATTAATTTAAATAAGACACCGTTCCCACTTTAGTTCAGGTAGCTGCATAGGTGCACTGGTAATGCTTGTTAATGGTTAATAAGTGCATAATAAATGATTTATTAATTTAAATAAGACACCCTTCCCACTTTAGTTCAGGTAGCTGCATAGGTGCACAGGTAATGCTTGTTAATGGTTAATAAGTGCATAATAAAGGATTTATTAGCCTTTATAAGGCTTTAGTATAAACATTCATTAAACATTTATTCTTGACAAGTTTCTAGTAAGTGCTCATATTAATAATATTATAAGTAATAACTAATAAATGTTTTAATTCATATATTAATAAATATAATCTCAATCATTTTAATAAACATTTTATATGCTGTCTATAAACATAAATTTTAAAAGAAAAATACATTCCTACAAGTGTCGTACAACAATAATAATAATGTTTTAATTTCTCTATAATCAACCCTTATAAAGTCTAATTAATGTTAATAAACATCGTATTCAAGTTTATAAACCATCAACAAGTTTTTAATAAGACCCTGTAAGTGTCTTACAAGCAATAATAAATTAGTTCAT